GTCTTCTCTATTAATTGACATGACTCTAGCATGTGGTGGAGTCGATTGTATGCATATGAAGGGAGAGGGGGTGAAGTTGGAAGGCATGTATTCTGTAAATATCCCCTTAACTTCGTTCGATCTTGTGCTCTGGGATACTTGTACCATCCTGGAGGAACTATTCCACCTTTACTGGTCCCAAATGTAATCCAAAATTAGAGAAACTGATATGATATTAGTAATTGTGATTAATAGGAAATTACCAGCAGGAAGACCGAAGCTTCGTGTCTTTTAAAGTAATTATTTACTGAGCCAAATGACTTTGTGCCTGAGGTTTGGTGTAAACACGCGTTTAACACGCTCAGAACAACATTACATCTATTATGTATATATAACCACGAAATCAACTTTCAAGGGAAAATAATTAATTTCTAAATATGTCACGGACATTCGCAGCGCTTCATATAGTATATCTGCCTATCAGGCAATTTTGATGTAGGCTTGTGAAACAATATTGTTATAAATATTAATAATATGGACAAATGGACAAATTTTGATTTTGTCTGCAATCGTGAAATCATTTATTTTGCTTATTATCAATGTTCGGGTGGTCTTATCTATTGAAAAGGGAGGTTTTGTGTTTTTTCAAGAATACATCTGCTTTTTAAGGTACTTCAAACACAGTGAAATTAATTTTTAATAACCACCAATTAGCCTCCTTCACTCAATTCAAATTTATTGGGGTTATCTTTGATTCCAGGTTAAGTTGGACGCGTCATATCATCTATGTCTCACAAAAATGTGCTAAACGACTCAATTTGCTTAAATGTGTGTCCAGCACACGTTAGGGGGCGTCCAAAAAGACTTTATTACTTATGTATAAAACCTTAATACCACCCGTTATTGACTATGGCAGTATCATCCATGACTCTGTGATTTACTCAGTCCTTATACAACTGGACGTTATTCAAAATCGATGCTTGCAATTATGTTGTGGAGCATTGAAACACATCCCTATATCAGCCATGAAAGTAGGCTGTGGTGTCCTACCCATTGGCTTACAGAGACGAAAGATGCAACTCAAATTTATAGCAAAGTCTTTGTACTACGATTATCCTATTAATTTCTATCAGAAGGATTGGAGAGATTATTACGGAACCTTGCAACGAAATAACTCACCAATGTCAGTTAAAATTGTAGACTTTTCTCGTCCGTGAACCTCCAGAACATTGCTAAATACCAATATTTTAGTTTTAAATGCTTTTCTGATGTTGAGATTTCTTATATAAAATGCCGAGGAATTAAAACTGGTAGACTTGGAGCAATCCGTAAATATACATGTATAGTCAGAGAAGCCTGCTAGTTTTTCCTTAGCCAAGGACAAAAGCAAGTAACTTTGCTCCCATTTTTTTCCAACATAATGTAGAGTGACGTCGACATCAGGGGTTGGAATCTCCCAAGGAGGAAAGGGGCACCTGCATCTGTATATAAGGCTGAACTGTTTGCTATCCTACAAGCACTTCTATGGCTAGAAGATTCAGATGTTACAAAAGCTCTGATAGTTAGTGACTTTTTAAGTTCATTAATTTCGATTCAAAATGGTTTCTTTTCATCTAATCCAATGTTACTGAGCGAAGTATTTACATGCCTTTTCCGGTTATGCCCCCGTATTGTCATCAAATTTCTCTGGGTCCATAGCCATGTGGGAATCCAGAGAACTGAGGTTTTTGATCGTCTTGCCAAGGATGCGTTAACATATCCTGAGGTCCAAAACCATCGGATTGAAGAAATAGATAGATAGATCGAAGAGATAGATAATTGAGTCAAGCGAACAGCAGGCAGCGTAAGTAAAGAGTGTGAATCGCTTTGATTAATAGCGCGTGTTATAACGGTTGTTAAGTTTAGAGTGACTGTTGTATCGAGAAAGAATAAACTAGTTTTAATTAAGAAAGGACTTGAATCGCTGAAGTTCCTAGAAAAGAATTTATACCGGAAATTAACAAACAAGCAGATACGTAACAATATCTTTTACAACTAACTGTATGTGTTGAGTATCCTAACCTATTTGTATTTATCAATTGTTCCTAACGCAATCAATTAATCATACGTATCATTATATTTTATTACAATAACATTAACTCATAAGATTATTAATACAACACAATTAAATACAAGGAAAATAATACTAATTTATACTTAATGATAACTAATAAAATAAATGACGAGAGGATCTAGTTCTACTAGTTGAGGTCAGTGAAATTGGGGCATATCATCTGCTGATGGCGCCCCCATAAATTACAAGCATAAATAAATAAATAATATTTAAGTATTTCAGAGTATTTAACGGAATAGATATGGCACGAGGTTTTAGTAGTGTTTTGCAGTTAACAGACCTCAATGACTTTATTAATCCGTCTCAGGTATTACTTTAATAACATTTTATTAATATGTAGTATATATTATCATACAACTAACCATCCTCGTTAGCGTCATATAACTTGCACTCGCAAAAGCAAATTAAAGCCTAAAACTAAAAGTCTTGATACACGTGTTACTGTTGTAACTTTACTACAACGCACACAGTACAAGTTGTAACTTAAAATGATTAAGCCTAACGTAATAGATAAATTCATAGAAATAAAACATTTCTGAGTTCACTTTTGTAATTTGTAATAAGACCGAGTAGTAAACTATAGTATACAAAGCTCTAGCTCGTGATCTCTTACAACTAAATATAGTGTTAGTAGTAGTACTACCGAGTTTATTAAACTTTGAGACAGAAAAAAAAAAGATTTATAATCCACAGCGATTCAATATTTATATTTTAAATAGGGATTGAAGATATTCAATACTACTTAGTACTAGTATTTTAATTTTTAACAGAATTAGAGTAATTTGAATAACATTTGTGAAGATGCTTAAGTTTATAGTGATAGTAACAGTATATTAATGTAAACCAATCTAATGATTTAAATGGTTTAGCATATGATAATTAATTTAAAATTATGAAGCATAGTTAATTATTGTATATTATTTAAGACAAACTGTTGAGGGTGAAAGGAATACTGTGTTAATTATGGAATAATACAAGTTAAGGGATATGGGTAAGTTTCAAAACAAGGATGTGAATTCATAAGTTTCTGGTGTTAAAAATAGAATGTTTGATAATCTACACTGTTTGTATCAAGATCATGACAGTTTGCAATGCAGAAGTCATCCCTATTGTATCATGTTTACATGGAGCAAGTATATGGACAACTGTGTGAAGGCAAAAGTGTGAAAATGGCAAACACATTTTACACTCTTGGAAATAAAATATGCCATTTCAACTGAAGAATTTGATATAAAGTAAACTTTAATTGCATATTTTTATAATGAAAACTAGTTTTAAGCCTTTTTATAAAAATTTACTCAAAAAATTAACTTAAGTGATAATACTTCTCAGAGCCTTTGACAACAAGGAATCATATGGTCCTGCAAAGCTGTGTTTGAAAACCTACCCTTGGAAAAATGAAATTGAAATTGAGCCTTTTCTTTTTTTAGGAAATTGCCAACTTTCACTACTGCTGCTAGCAACTTATTCAATAAACCAATCACCCGTTTAGAAAAATAAAACCGTGAATTGGAGTCTAGCTTGCTTTTCCAAATATTAAACTTGTGTCCACTTGTCCTGTAGTCTTCAAAATACTGTACAAAGAAAGCAGAGGCCTGTATGCAATCAAATACCAAATAATCTTATTAACTTCAATAATAAGACCTCTCACTCATCTTTTCTAAAAATAAAAACATCTTAATCTATCCTTGAAAGATGACCCTTTCATCCCCAAAATCATATCCCAGTATTATTAGTAGCTCCCCTTCTGAACTCTTTAACAAAAAGTCAGTATTTCTCTGTAGATAAGGTGACCAAAACTGTACACAGTATTTCAAGTGAGCCATAACTAAGGATTTCTATAAAGAGAGAGATAATTTGCCTCTGTTTATTTGTAATCTGTATGTATGAATACACTAAACATTCTGTTAACTTTACTACTAGTGCCAAAGCACTGGTTCAGGTTAAATGTGATCTAAGTTATGATAACTAAAATATATTATCTTGCATTTATCATGATAATGAGGTAAATATCTTTGATATTGGTACTTCTTCAAGCTTCTGCCTTTATACCCAGTATACTTGTAGATTAACAATGTAAAGTTAGGGGTCAGTACATATGGTTCCTGAATAAGTTACTTTATGTGATATACTTATAGTGTTGTCATCTAGACTTAAATGCTTTACTGTTTTTCCATCACTAACTACTGAGATATTTCACTTCCTTGATATTCAAACAATTTATTTAATAGAAATAATAGTAATTTTTCATATTTACTGGCATTGTTAGAATGAATAACTAGACATTGTAAATCATATTTCATAGGATTAAGAAAACCAAACAAATGATATGAAATGGGTTAAATCCAAGAAAAATTATTTGATGTGCATTACTGTAATGTAAAAATATTTTATGCTATGCATTATTATAGAAAATAATGCTTTGATTACTTTTACAATTTGCATACATATTACAGCTAGAACACCTTGTTATATTTTAATTTGCATCTGATTGCAGTGAATTAGTGACAGAACAAATATCTGGAATTCTTTGAATAAATGATATTAAGTTACAAACTGCTGTTTTGTAATAAAAACAAATTTTTTTTTTCTGATATCCTTGCTTTCTAGTATGGTAAATTGAAATATCTGATTAGAAGTTTTGATAAGTTTTTTCATTTCATCATTTTAGTTCATTATATTTCATATATTTGGGAACTAACTTCTGCTGTAAGTTCTTCAAGACTAGAAGAACAGTATAATGCTTGGAGACAGCTTGAATGGATTATGAAGAAAACTTTAAGATAAAAATTTAAAATAACAGCAAGTGTACAATGTTTCAACAAGGTTTTGTCATCATCAGGTACACATACCGTGTCGAAATATTGTACATTTGCTGTTATGTTAAACTTGTATTTAAGTTTTTCTTCATTACCCATTCAAGCCATCTCCAAGCATTATTAGTCTCAAAGTGGGTTCCTCATCATCGAAGAAGAACAGTATATTCAACAGATTACCAGAAATATGAAAAAAAAACATTTTACCATTGGTTGATAAGTTGAAGCTATATCTAAATGATTATATATCACAAGTTAAATATTAAGAGCTTCACTATGGTTATCTTAATAAATTTGAGTAGTTTTATGCTTTAAAACTGCAGATAGTGTTCTTGTATTTACTTGTGCAAACAAATATCTTGAATATTTTATTTTGGATAGTAAAAACAATTTATGAGCCAAACTGATTACATTATTATCAACTTTTGAAAATTCATCTTTTCAATTTGTAAACAACTTCAAAAGACTGTCATACACTACCAATGTTTTTTTTTCCTGTTCTCAAAACTGTTCCATTGCTTCAGTGCTATGTTGGCATATTTCATTCCAGGTAAATCCATTGAATTATGAAAGTTCTTTTTATGTTACTATTAGTCATGCATTTGTTTCTCAAAATAATTTTTTGCTCGGCTAGTAGTTTCACAGTTTTTGCCAATAAGGAAGTTTCATGTCACTCCTTAGTGTTTTCATCTTAGCGCAATGACTTATTAGGCAGCCAATGCAAGCTGCAAGGTAGGGAAAACTTGAATTTTACAATTATTTTAATCTGTTGTCAAAAGTTGAAGTTTATTTATGTACAACTTTATAAAATTCTATATTCATGACAAGACATTTAAATTTTATGACACTTGCTCTTTATTTACCAGCAATTATCAGTAATATATAATTATGAAATGTAGAGTTGAAACAAGTTTAAATTTATTTTCGATCAGTCTTTAGAAAGAGTAAAAGTAATATATATATTTATAATTATAGAGAATGTTTTCTTTCATATTTGAAATATTTTTCTTTTGTTTTGGTCTTGAATATCTTCCAGAATAGTTCAAACACACATTAATATAAAAATATTTTATATCAAGGAGAACCTCAGATAACATTTAGAACACATTAAAAACTTCCAGTTTCCAGGAGCAAAAACATGAGTACAGCATCACTTATGGAGTCACCCTATGACCTTGTATACTCTTATATATGTGTGTGTGTTGGCACTGATAAGTAAAAGTTGGTAAAGTATTCTAACATATGTTACCTTCCTATAGGAATGTATCAAGCCAGTGAAAATTGAGAAAAAACCAGGGAAGACATCAGCTATTAGAATTGGTGAAGATGGAAATTATATGCAAGTTTCTGAGGTGTGTTGTATATTAATTTTAATACTTATGCAGTTATTAATAACTAATTTTATACATAGGCACAGTCTTTTAAGTAATTTTAAAAGATTCTCCCCACAGAGTAGTCCCTCAATCCATAGTTTTTGGTGGGTGTCTTCTCAGCTGGGAACACCTCATATCAATGTCTTCACCGCAAACTGGAACACTGAACTTCCTTCCTTTTGGTCTCCTGTTCCACACCTACTAGCACTAGGAGTGGATGCATTCAGTCAAGACTGGAGGGGTCACCACATCTATGCTTACCCTCCTGGTGGCTTCATATTGGCCGGTGCAACCATGGTTCCCACTGCTTCGACCTTTACATGTACAACCTCTCCTAGCCTTACCTCTGTCTCAATCTCTATTCCATCAACCTAGGTCAGACATCATTCATCCAAACATCACACTTGGCTTTTGTCTGGTCCATTGCCTCAGTGCAGGGGCTGAATCCATGTGTTACATCTTTCCTTTCCAGATCTGAAAGACCTTCCATATCTGCTTACCAAAGGTGATGGTCTACCTTCTGCCCTTGGTCTCTTTCATGTGGTTTCTGTCCTTCCCACCCTTCCCTTCCTCATCTTTCACAATTCTTCACTTAGTTGTTCGACAAAGGCTTATCCACTTTGACCATGTCTAACTATTAGGCAGCCTTGTCGAACATTTTCCATTTCTATAAGTTTAATAAATTTTGTGTTTTCCTGTCATTTCCCTCCATTTCTACTCCTTTCAAGTCATGCATCCTCCACATTCCTTTGATCTGCCTGATTGAAGACTCCTTTTCCTCTTTGCTTGTGGACATCATCTATCAGATATTTATGCCATTAATATTACCAGAATCTTCTACTGTTTCTCTTATGTAATTTTATATCCAGACATTTCCTTCCCTTCCTAAGACCTATGCTGCCCATGATAGCAGTTTGACTTTTACACCCATTTCCTTACCTTCCTTCTCCCACCTGTACTTCCATTCTGATTCAAATTGGCTTCTTTGTCTAATTTGCTTCTTATAGTGTTATGTGGCACTTACTGTCTTCTTTCAGACTTCACGTTCCCTACTTTTTCTTCCCTGGAATCTATCTGTTTCCCCTATCACATTAACTGGTTGGATTTGTCAACTCATTAGGCTGGTATATTCAGACTTTTCCATGGAAGTTCACCATCTCCACAACATTTCTTTTCATCAAATTTGTCATATCACCATGTCTTTGGCTGTTTACCTTTGCCATCCTTTGGAGGAGATTCTTCAGGCTGGAATGTGGACTACTCCCAATTCCTTCATTGCTCATTATCTGCACAATCTGGCTGTTTCCTCCTCAGATGAAAATTGTCTCCCTCACATTCTATACACATCCATTCACCTTTGATTGGGGTTAGTCTTGTCACATCATTTCACTTATTTTTTTATTACTGTTAATGGGATCCCACTATGAGGTGGGTGTTGCCTGGTCAGGTAAGACCTCAAACCAACACAATTTACAGGTAGTGCTATAATGCTCACTGTAGAGATAGAGTGTTCCATAAGACCACTGGTGATATGCTCAGTGGTGGACTGTCACTCATGGACTTTCATGAGTAAAGCAAAAGGGAATTTCTGCCCATCTCTGCTGACCCCTTGATTGAATAAATTGGGTATGATCTGCTTTTAAAAATAGGGATTTGTGGACATCCATTGCCTTTTCTCCAGTTTGAAGTTCCTATGGACTCTCCACTGCATTTACTCTCCCCTTTTCTCTGATTAGAGCAAGGGAGTCCTTGCCTTTCCCATTTCTCAGTTGCTGGGATGGTGACTTCCTCCTGAGTGTGTTGTAGACTTTTAACTTACCATTCGTCCACATGATTATCCACTCAGTGAGAAAAGGGCAAAGATGATTTCCTTCCTTCCATTTCCCCTGGATGCTTATTCCCAGGTAATTAGTTATCATTTGGAGCAGGATCAGCTTATGTGGGATCCTCCTTGTGATACCTGGTTCTGGATGATACTACCCTGTTCCTATAGTTTTGTGCATTAGAAGTTCCCTTCTCATTAATTCCAGTTGCAGGAGGTTCCTTCCCTGCTCCCATGGTGGAGTTTAGGGAACTTTGTCTGCTTCATAATACTGGCAACAGGATGTACATACACTTTCCTCTGGTTGAGCGAATGTTCCATATCCTTCTCATAATCCTAGATGCGGTATGTCTCTTCCCTGCATTTATGGTTGGGTGAGTTAAGATTTTTGCTCATGGTACCAGTTACAGATATTACCCTGTTCTTACGACCCTGTAATGCCGAGTTTGGTTAGTTGTACTTTTTGCTCCTATGGTGGTTTTGGGAGTTTGTTCAGTTTCAACTAATGCTAACTTCCTTATCAAAATTCCATTTGCTTGATATACAAAACTCTGTTTACTTGTGGTTGGAGTTCATGTGTATACACAACATGGTCCACATGTCCTAGCTATAGTGTCTGTTATATTTTTGTTTTTATCTGATTGATCCTTAACCTCTTTATGCTGAGGATGAGTTGTGGAACCTCGTCTATCCAGTTGAAGTTATTTTTTTACTATGGATTGCATTATTTGACTGAATTACACTTGTGTACATCATTTTTTCTCCCCATATCAGGTTCCTTTTCTTCTTCACGGATAAAGAAGAAAGTAGTCACAAGCTAAGTACATGTTCAGTAGCGGCACAAAATTGGTAGGGTATATAGAATGGTGCGCTGAGCATGAAATGTTTTTTTTAGCAATGCTTAGAAGGCAGAACGAAGATTGAGATAGCTTTGAGTGAGGTAAGTACATATTGGAAATACATTTACAGTGTAAGTAAATGTTGACTTTCACCTTCAAAAACTCAGAAAATCCTTCTCAGATCCAGAATAATCAACAGTCTGGATCATTTATTGTAGTATGATGAGGATTCTCAACCGTAATGTATCCATGAAATTTGATACAAATTGGATCACACTTTATAGAGTTGTTATATAACTGTGAAAATGCCCTAACTCCCCATTATAAAAAAAAGGGATCCAGATTTAAATCTAGACCACATTTGGGGAGGACTGTTCTACACTGATTTCTGATCTTGTTTAAAATTTTCATATAAATTCGTCTATTAGATTTTGAGATATGCACACAGAAACACAGAGATAGACCCAATTGCAATATCTCCCTCTGGGGTGATGGTTACAAATTCACTATCATTATATTGCTCTGTGATCAGGGAAGAGAATTTCTCAGTAATTATCAGTTCCCACTTTTTAAGTTCTTGCTACTAGCAATTCACAAGAATGATGCAAAATCAATTAGAAAAAATGTGCAATATTGGGGTTGATGGGTGGGTGAACTGGAAGCTGAAAATGAAATTCTCTAGGATATGTCACATATATGTGACAAAGTATAAATCAAACTTTCTAACTGTATGGTTTTATATATGAATAAAAGCTGTTTTGAACAATAGACATAGTTTAATACCACTAGAGGTTATCTTTCCTATCAACGATAAGAACAATGATCTCTGTGAACTGTTCCTTCAGGTTTAAACTTCCCTTTCCTAACAACAATAAGAACAATGATCTCTATGAGCTGTTCCTTCAGGTTTAAACTTCATCTTTCCTAACAACAATAAGAACAATGATCTCTGTGATCTGTTCCTTCAGGTTTAAACTTCTCTTTCAACAATAAGAACAGTTAAGTAGTACAATTATCTGAGGATGTTTCTAATTATCACTGGTCAATTTATATACAATTAGAATATAATAAATTGCTAAATATGTAGTATAAAACCATTAAAAATTATAATGAAGTTCAATGCCAATACCTTACAACCACCCCAGATAGAATCAACCCACAATTTGGCCTGTTTTATTTTGTATTCAAGTTAGTCATTAGATTTAATTTTGAGAAACTTTTATATCACTTTAAAAGACTTGAGATTATACAGTAGTATATAAGGTGCAGTATAGCATGTGTAGTCCTAATGTATTTGTTACGGTATTGAAGCACACACACACACACACACACACACTTGGTTATTTTATATTAATTCATTTCCAAGGACAAAAATTTCAAGTTGTGACAAATTATGTTATAGTTTTTAAATCTTGGGTTAAGACTGATGAATTTGAAACTTTAGAAATAATAATAGTCATTTCCATACTTGTGAACCCTTTTCTTTAGTAGTATAGTGTGTTTGACAGTTTATAATTATGTGAAAATTTCTTTTGTAATGCTGTAAATGCAGGGAGGTATGGAAATTAAACTGAAGAAAGCCAAGATTACACTGAATGACTGCCTTGCTTGTAGTGGATGTATTACTTCAGCAGAGAGTGTGTTGATAACCCAACAGAGTCAGGAAGAATTGAACAAAGTGTTGAAAGAAAACAGAGTGCTAAAGGAGGTACAGTTTCTAAGCTTGCATGTTTTCTATATTTATATTGTTAATTCTGTTTGAATATTTGAATACATGTGGGAATACACATAGATGTTGCAGTTTTATTTATGGTAATGATACTCATTTTCCCATTTCCAAGAATATGTGAAACATCTTTGAATATTTTAAATTGGCCAAACACATATGATAAATTGTTTAACTTTCTCTTAAATCTTTTAATGTAAGGCTTTACCTTCCTTACATTTGTCTGTTTTCTCAGTAGTTGCTGAAGACACTTACAGTAATGGACAAGTATGTATAAAACTGTCTTTAGACTAGTGTAGGTTGCTGGTATTATAACTGTATGTGTATAATTGATCCATGTTAGTGACAAAGATAATTTCTTTGTTACTGATTATGAAAACTAGTAAAAGACTATTAAAAGAATCATTAATTAATTGTTGAAAAAAAAAGTCTTACTTTTCTAAATCAGATTTCAGTAAATGATCATTCTTTTAAAATCTCATTAATTTTACTTTTAGAATTAGTGTAATATCTATGGATGGCACTAAGGGAATAAAGCAGTAAATAATATGCCAGTTATCTTGAAAATATTTGTAGAAATTCTTGAAACAATTACAAATAAGTATAAAATCCAGCAGATTTGAGCTTTTCATAGCTTTACTAATCCAGTCATTTAAGAGAGAAGAAATTTTGCATAGAACCCTTCCACCTAACGTATTATTTCAAAATATTTATAACATCCAAACCATAAACTAATATAAACTTTTTACAATGAAATTGTAAAAACCAGGATTAACAATCTAAAATGTAAGTTGTGCAATATATTTATCTTTTTAGTCTGCAAATGTGATACGTAATCAGTTGTCTAAAAGTTGTACATTCATTTATGAATCCACACCCTATGAGTACAGAATTCACTTTAGTATGTGAGACCATGTTTCATGGTAACCTGCCACAATGATAGGAATGTTGAGGTTTTGAATATTGTGTTTGATATAGATGGTTTGTGCATGCATATGATTGTATGTGTCTGAATAATAAAAAAAAAAAAACTATGTTAATTTTAGACCATCTAAAGGAAGGGGAGGACATAACACAATACCATGTCTTACCTTTGAATGATATTTTAAAACAATCCAGATAACTGAGTCAAACTGAAAAATAAAAGTAAAGTAAAAATTGCAATGTGGGAAGGGTAAATTGGACCTTAATGTGAGCTTGTGTGGAAGTAGAAATCTGCACTGTATGGAACATACTTTCTGCCAGGTTTAACCTCTATTCACAAACCTCACATGAAATTAAAATAAGAACTGCAAAGAAAACAAAACACTGGTTTCTCAAACTCACAGCACTCCATGCCTTAAACTACCATTCACTGTCTGCAGTCAGTTGTGGGGAGGTATGTTACTCTTAATTAAACAGAAAAGCAAGAAAAGACAATTTAAAGATACAAAGTAAAATAGATTACCACTAGCCACTAGAGATGGTAGCAAAACATGTGAAGTTGGTGTTCCAGTCCGTCACGTATCTGTATAAGAAGCATAAAAAAACCTGAGATGTCTAGGTCACTAATTACTGTACTGTTAGAAGAGTGAATAATGAAATTAACTTTACACATTCAAAACCTAGCACCATACTTTCTCCTCCCTAAATATTACTTTATTACAATTGGCTCTAATTTCAGTGAATGATCTTTATTAACCATGCATACTATCTATTACATTTGTGCTACTTAATAGTGTTATCCTTTACATGTGGTGAGTGACAAAACAGGTAGGGTGTAATTAAAATAACTTATATTAATGCTTTGGATGGAGGTAGATCAAAGTGTGCATGTTATAACCTTTTAATAGAGTTAAATTCAATATTTAATTAAATTACTTTATTATTAATGTGTATCATTAAGCTTGGCATCAAAATGTAGTTTATAATTCAAGTTTTTATGTTAACTAAGTTTGGATTTCTTAATTTAAAGAGGAAGTATTTAAATAAATCTTCACTCCTCTGTATGGCATGACACTTCTGCACTCAGAAGTTCCTAGTTTAGGCATTATTTTCACCCATATTTTAGCGTTTTGAGTTTTAATACAAATATACTTATTAACTGTTTCTGATCATGATCTTCTTATGTATGACTGTTCTTGTCCCCATGATTTAAATGATTCAGTAGTTAAAAATGTTTCCATAGGAGCTACTTAACTTGTAACATTACAAACAAAACATTTACTAAGTAGTAACAGGAGATTTGCACTGTGGCACTGAATATGTTGTATAATTGGTTAGTTGTAAGAATGCACAATTTCTAAGTGGCAGAAACAGTTTTTCAAACACTAGTATGTCTGTCATATTACAGCTAGCCTGAAGAGCCCTAGAAAAGGGCAAAAGGCCTCTTAGCCACTGAATATAGCAGATATATTGTTATTGACATATTATTACACTATTCTTTACTTCTACTAAGAAGTTCTTGTTGATAAGAAGAAAAACATGCTGGATTGTTCAATATCAACATTTTAACTCTGCGAGATAACTTTTGAAGATTTTCTGCACACAACTCGTAGAATTCACACATTGTGAAAATTTGTGTATTTTATGTATTAAACTTGTGGAAAAAGATTATATTTACCATTTATCTCTATGGGCTTAATGATAGAGTTAAAAATTAAGCTAATGATTTTCAAGGCTGCCTATTTTCATATAATCCTTATTTTTCTGAACTTATTACAGGTCACGGGTGTAAACACAGTACAAATATGATTGAAACACTAGAGAGTTTACCATTAGACCTAGAACTTTATAAAACTAAGTCTTACATGTTTATTTTTTATCTTAAAAGGGCTATAGGTTAATAAACTTACATTTAATCAGTCAAATATAAATACAGATGGTATTAACTTTGATGAGCAATGTCAACTAGCTATTACTTGCTGTTTGTTATCAGTTACACCTAAAACAACAACAGTTAATGAATCTAAAGATAAGGCTTAGCCTATAGTTTCATTTATTGATAGAAATATTGTTGAAATGTTTTCTTTCAAATTCTTTTAAGTTATTTGGCGATACTAAGATTTAAGTCCAGTCCAGGTATTGATAAGATTAATATGCAATTAAACTTGTACAATTTCATGGCTAATCAATTGAATTACTGAACATATGTTAAAACTAACACTAATCTGAATACTTCACTAACTTCTCAATCACTGAACAAACTAACTGCTTACTTATTTATACTGATGTACCAATGTCTGGATCCTAGTCCAATTTATTAGATCTGAACCACATATGCCCTCCAGCAAACATCTAAGTTAAAACATTAAAAATATAGCTTACAGCAGTATATAACTAGTTAAATTACAACCTAAGGTTAGAGATACTTTTATATTTTAGGTATACCAAACACTTGTAAAATTAAACATCCTTTATTAACTATTCTTGCAAGAGAGCTAGCTATTGGCAAAGATCCTAAATTCCAGAAATGTTCTAAAATTTATTGGAATTAGAAAAAGAAGTAATTAGTAAATCATTCAATAAACTGATACATAAATGGTGTGGAAAAGAGAGCTTAAAATTAATCCTATTTGAACCAAAATAGAAATCCTAATACAATACTGTAATATATGCATAAAAATTTTTTATAGTGAATATGTTATGAATAAGAAAGAAGTCACTTGCTAGAGAACTTAAAACTAATCCAATTGGAACCAGAATTGAAGCCATAATACAATACTATAATATATGCATAAAAGAAATTTATAGTGAATATGTTATGAATAAGAAGGAAGTCACTTACTATTTAGATTCTTTACTCAGACAATGCATTATCACTCCTGCTCATAAAGTTTCTAGAATTTTTGTTTTATTATGTAAAAAAAATCTTACAATATTATATAAAGAAATAGGGTTTAATATAAATAAATCTAAAACCTCTGGATAACTAGATGTATAAAGACATTAAAACCAATAAAGAATTTTAAATAAACACAACACAGTTTTATCTTATAATACATAATATTGTTATAGGTTCCTAAGTTTCATAAAATACTGTTACGTCTCCGTTTGACGAAACTTTAGCGACACAAGTCCTTACTTAATAAAACTGGTTTATTCTTTCCGAATACAACTTTACCATACACATATTTTCAACAATCGTGCTAAAACAAACGCTATAAACAACGAACGTGCTCAATAATACTTCTGACTGCAGATCAATTACTCACTGTCTACACACACATTCTTCTTCCGTCACGTTGTCACCCTCTTTTATATACCAGGTTACCCTATATCTAGTAAATACTAGAGCATTCGCCAAGGTACAGGATAGTTCTAGAAAATAGGTGGCGCCACACCAGTCACGTGACCTCGATGACGCAACAATATCTATTTGTAAACTCATATTTTTCATTCCATAAACTCATAATAACATATGTTATCTGATATAAGTGATTTAACTCGAATTTTGCGCTTTTTAAGAACCAAATGTTGGATGTTGTATAATGGTTTGCCTGCCGGGTTGTGGGTTGAAAGGTCCAAGGTTCGCGCCCATGATATGCTGCTAAAAAATGTTCCGCAATTTCGACGTAGGCGTGTGGTATTCCCAGGTACACTGATAAAATTCAGATAAGAATGATAAAATCTCTAAATAGAGATTCGGCAGAATAAATATTGCATAATTAATCTGAATTCCTGATATAAATGGGTTAGGAAAAACAGAGACTAGACGAAGCTTATGGGTTTGTGTTTAACTGCAAACAAACAAAACAAAGAGTTTACTCTAGTTTCAGAGAATCTTTCGTCCATCGTCCAGTCCACCAACTGACAAGTTTTGGTATTGAACGAAAGTCCTCTTGGACAGTGACTTGTGGGAGACAGAGATAGATATGAAATGCTATTTGTACACGCCTCTGATTTTGAATCTGAAATGGACAAATTAAGAGGAATGTGAGAGGAAAATGTTCGTAATTTACGTAATTTTTATCACAGCTTTTAGGCTGTTGAAACTGTTTGAA